GGTTCTCACCACCAAAGGCTTGGGAGTTCGACGGAGACAACTTGGAAAATATCAATGACGGTGACGAACATGCCGGCGGCGAAACGACCGTCGGGTTCCCCCCTGGCAGAAGCGGTATTGGTGGTGGCGATGGCAGAAGCGGTAGTAGGAAACCTAGCGGAGGAGGCGGTGCTGGGGGCGGCGGCGACGAGGCCCGGCGACGACGTCGGCGGAGCCGAATGCGGACGCGCGACGGTCGTGCATTCGGATTCGACAACGATGAGTTCTTCGAGTACAGCATGTACGACGACACGCCCGCGGCTGGGCCCGGGGCCAGGGGCGATGGAGTCCCCGGCGATGGTGGAGGCAGAGGGGAGAGTAAAAGCGGAAGAGACGGGGGGGAGTTTGAGGCCAGGCTAGAGAAGCAGCGACCGCCGAAGACAAACCAGGACGCGGCTGATGCGGCTGGGGCGGGCGTAGTGGCGGCGTTGATGGAGGTGAGGTTTGGGCGGCAGGGAGGACCAAGGGACATTGTTTTTGGAGGTTAGGGGCCAGTGTGGATGATGCTGGCAAGTGCCGTTGGTGTGTAGAGATGGTCGTTCTCGGTCGCTTGCTTCCTCTTGGATAAGGGAGTTCCTTGCAGAGCTCGGTTGTCCAACAAGAGCAGTGGCTCAGTGGTTCAGTTGGTGGCCTCGAACAAAGTTCCGGTTCTTCGTTGTGTGTTCGAATATCTCGGGGGAGAAAAACTCGAACTTGTTTTTTTGAAGTGACAATCGCTTGGTCGTGAGTACGCACAACTTACAGATATCAGGGACAGATTAGCCCTTGTCGCGTTACGTGTTGAAGGCAAGCACCGAACAGGTCAACCCCTCTCGCGTTATTCGTTGAGGGCGAGTGGCGAGTGCCGCAGAAGGAAGGGGGGACAATTCCCTCGTGTCATACCTCTGCTGCTGCCGAAAGGTGTAAGCTGGCGCCCAGAAAAAAATGAGACGACGAAAAAAAACGCGTGCTCTTGTGGGGGGTGATTGTTTTTTGAACATCGCGACTTTCCGAGCGTCCTTGCTGTTCGTATTGCTGTCCCTGTTGCCTAAAGTCACCGCAGACGATGTTTTCCTTGTATGCCATGCCAGGATAACAGTTGTAATTTGCCCGGGAGAGGCATAGATGGGACTTACTTATCGACGGGGAAGGTGTTGGTTGTTTCTCGTTGCAGCAGCAACCACACCCTGGAAGGCAATAGAACAGAGCAAGACTTGACGGAGGAAAATATTCCCGATGCTGGTATGTATGTGCACGGTACATACACCAGACGCCCCATCCAAGTACCTATATTTCGCCTGTTTACCAGCTCCCGTGCTTTTCTCAACATGCACCGCCTGCCCCGCTCTGAATCGCACCGCTTGCAACGCCAGGGTCGGCGGCGTCTCATCGTCGAGGTCGACGATTCTCAGCTCAGATATAACTCCCCGGACTTCTGCCACGAAGCGATGGCGGAGTTCGTGGAACTGCTCGTCCTGCCGCTCACCACCGCCCTAGAGAACCTCAAGGTGAAGAGTAGCGGCAGCCCCCGTGTTTTTGATGATGTGTGTTGAGCGCCAAACGTGTTTAGCGCAATGCTGCATGTGCCCCTCCCCTCCTAATGTTTGGAGTGTTACTCGAGAAGTGGATCGCGTCGCTGCGATCCCCGCAAGACCGGCAGTGTAAGTCTCGGAGCGGTTCAGAGAGCCACCGAAGGGCGAGAGTTTACATCCTTGGACGGGTTTTTCTGATCAACGTACGGGGAGAAGAGAAGAGTTAGGTTCGATACGTACCGCCGGATATGTTCACGTTGAGTAGGTTGATGGCCTTTCTGGTCGGGAGCGTATAGGAATGCGTGCGGTGCGCTGGGGAGATTTGCGACAGCGCCGATGTGCTTCCGACGATGGGTGAAGTCCTTGTATCCGGTGGTTGTCGATATGCATGCCCCTTGATCGTGTACCTCAGGCGGCTTCCGAATTAGCACAGACCGTTTCACGAGCAAAAAAACGCCCCCCTTTCCCCCCTTGCCCCCGTTTCCACCACGTATCCTTCCGGTCTGCGTTGCTCCAGGCGAGGCAAAACCGCTGCAAGATCGTGATCCAGGGTGCTCATCACGCATCGCAGGTCAAAGAGGTACGCTGGCGTTATTCCGTTTTCGCTTGCTGCTGTCGAATGGTTTTTGTTTGGTCTCGGAATGGTCGTTGTTTTCATCCTCTGTGCGTGATGCCGCCCTTCGATTAAGGCAGCCGATGTTGCGTCTGCCAATGGCCCGAGCTTCTGTTATGTTCGTGATACATAGACGTTGCCGCCGTCGCCAGTTGCAGATCTCGTTGATTCCCTTCGGGTCTTGTCGGTTGCTGTTGCTGTTGCTGTTGTTCATGTTGTTGTCGTTGTTGTCGTTGTTGTCGTTGTTGTTGTTGTTGTTGTTGTTGTTGTTGTAAGTAATACTCTCGATTGCGTGCTCTCGCTCTGTCTTGTATGTATTTGGAGGTGCTTGTGTGCGTCCTCTGACACTGCCGTTGCTTCTAATCTGCAGGCGATGGTGCTGGACGCCCCCGCCTCTCTACAGGTGGTGTCCTTGAGCGACGCCAAGGTGGCCAAAAAAGACAGGGTTGTGGTGAGTTGTTGCTGCTGCTGCTGCTGCTGCTGCTGCTGCTGCTGCTGCTGCTGCTGCTGCTATTGTTGTCTTGACGTTATCAATCGTTCCGATCCCTCTACAACCCAGTACGCTCATCTGTCCGCACTGATCAAACATTGGACCGGTCGATTCCCATGGCACAGGCTATCTTGCCGTCAAAAAGGTGATTCGAAGAGTGCCCTTGTTTCTTTTTTGTTTTCCCAGCGTCTTGTGTTGTGTGTTGTGTGTGTTTTCGTCCTATTTATTATGGCAGCAGTCCCCCCTTTTTTCGTGGTGAGACGTGTACTACACTTTTCAGCGTTTGTAGAGTACTACACTTTTCGGTGTATTTTTTCGTACAACTACAACCATCCAGGGTCACGCAGGAGGGGGTAACACCAGGGCTTTTTTCTTCTTTTTATTTCTTTTCATGCCCCGCCTTCCTCCTGCGGTGCGTGCTGGATGTTATTTTTATCGCGAGAAGGGTCAAGCCGTCCCTTTCCCTCGTCAACGGTGCTAACGTCGAAGTTTGGTACTCACGAGAGCTTTTTAGCTCTACTTCGCTTTCACCCGCAAATTTCGTAAATTTTTCACCCCATGGGGATTCGAACTCACGACCTCTGCGACTCGCGGGTTACGAGGATACCACTAGACCACCGGGGCGACCGTGGTGGTACTCGGGGAACACTCGTGGTGGTGCATTCTGGACAGTGCTTGCTTGAGCCCCACGTGGTTTTCCGAGCGTCATCATGCTCAGTGCGGTTGGACTCATTTCGACCCGTGGCGCTCACGACCTCGTCTCAATCCCGTCCAAAACACATCCTCCCATATTGCAGGCGCTGGTGGCCCCGGAAAACTGGACGGGAAAGAAGGGGCGGCACCTCAAACGAGTCCTGGCCGAGGCTCACGATGCGGCCATCATCCTCATCAACCCGATCGATGCTGACAAGTTCCTCCAGGCAAGAGTCGCGACTTTGCTGGAGCTGTCGGCAGCACAAGCCCCAGGCTTGGGTGTGTTTTGGATGGCAGTTTTGAACACTTGAGGCGCAACAGCGTTCCACGCATCAATTTCTAGGGAATAGATGAGAGCCGTTGGGGCCGGGTTCAAAGAGTGCTGGTGCGATACAAGTCCCCGCCGTCGGCCATGGCCTCAGGCGTGCGCACCGCCGTAAATCTCCCGAAGACTGACACCATAGCCCCACCCCCCCTTCTCTGTCGGATCTCTGCCTCTCGCTGCCTCTGTCGCCACTCTTCTCCTCGTCGCTACCCCCCGGTGTTCACCGGAATCAGCCGGCAGATTACAACACCTTCGAGCTAGTGTATCACCTGAGCCCCATGCGGGTCAACTACCTTCACTCGCTGCCGCCACCGCAGCACCCCTCGCTAGACCTCGACAGCGAAGCCGACAGGGGGACGGGGGCGGGGAGGGGGCAGCCCACCGGCGAAGCCCTCCTCTTGGAGCGCCTAGGAGAGTCCGTGTGGGCAGAGGAGGAAGCGCTCGCCGCCGAGGCACTTGCTGCCGCCGCCTCCGCCGCCGCCGCCGCCGCCGCCAGCAGCGTGTCGGGCCCGGTGGACGTCGTCGACGGCAGTAGTGGTGCCGGCGACAAAGCAGATAGCACGGGGGTCGCCGGCGCCACCGGCGCTGAGTCGTCGTCGGAAAACGCCTCGGTCTTCGACGAAACTTCCGCGGTCGGCGCGGCGGCGGCGGCGGAGATAGGGGTCCGAGCCGCGGAGAGGGCGCTGGCCCGTGCGGCGCTGAAGATGGGCGCCTCCGCTGCCGCCGGCGGGGGAAGCGGCGGCGGTGGCGGCTCCGCGCGAGATCAGCAGCTCGACTGGGGAGACCTGGACATAGGGTACCGAGATCGCAGTGAGTGGGACGAGATGGAGGACGAGAGGCTGTCTGATGAGGCCGCTGCGGCAGCCTTGGCGGCATGGAGCGAGGAGGAGGAAGGCGAGGGATCGTTGCGGGAAAAAGAGCTGCGCTGGGGGGAGGGGGAGGTAGGGGAGTGGGACGGGGAGGCGGACGAGGCCGCGGAGATGGCGGCGCTGGCGGTTACCCTCCGGCAGTACCCCGAGTGAGTTGAAATTTGTGGTTTAATCGTTCCTCTCTTGTGCCATGTCACTGCTTGCTGGTGTTGCTCGCACCCATCATCAGTTCTGCACTGCTCGTGGCGTTGTTGTTCGCTTGTATGGTGGTGCTGCCAATTGGTCCGCAAATTATTTTCAAAACGATGCGTGAGGGTGCGTGGGGAGCTTGTGGGCGTTCGCTCTCTCTTTCACACGAGCCGCTGGCAAGATACAAGCATGTTACGTGGGATGCTGAAAGGCGATGTGCTTTCTGTGGAGACCTGATTTGAAGTAGAAATGATGATGGTGACGATCAATCCGCGCGACATGAAGCGACGCGGACTCGATAGAATCGATATGTTCCGCTCTATGTGGCCAGCCCCATCCTTTCGTCCCGGAACAGTTCTACAGGCCTGTTACAGACGAAGACTTGATTTGAGTATGAGTTCCACCTGGTTGAAACCCGCGATAACTTTTCGTCTTTCCAATGGAAAACAATCCCGTTACCGTTCGCTCAGTCACCTTCTTATTTGCCGAGCCCCCTCCACACCAATTGACCGTCGCCCCCCCTCTCCGCTTGTCAGTGCGTGGGAGGCGTTTGTTGATCTGCACGACGGAGTGGGGTTTAGGCTGTGTGGCACGTGGGACAGAGAACCTCCGCCGAGCGCGGTGAAGACAGTCGTCATGGACCATATCCTACGCATCATCATGGACTAAATAGAAAGCAATTGAATGTGTATAGAGGAGCGTAGGATAGTGCTCCCGAGGCACCACTGTTGGAGGCAGGGATAATTTCGGCACATGATGTTGTGCAGTCAGGCGTATTGCTCGAATGTTTACCGAGCCAATTTTGGCTCCGGGAGGTCTTCAAGAAAGACATTCCCAATTTGCTAGAAGCTCCGCAGATGACAGCCCACGCCTTCATGGTGGTGAGATGTGTCGGTACAATGTCTCCTTATGTTTCTGCGCATGCGGGGGAAGGGGTTGACATGATCGACAACTTTTTTAGATATTGCAGTTGTTCGCAGCCAACCCCGTGAGGGTGTTCATGACTGGGTGCGGAGGTTTCGTACTTTTCTGTCGCGGGTATTGGAATGCTTGAGCACGTTGTTGTGTGGCCTCTCTTTGTAGTGAGTGCGGAGCTGATCGTGTGGGGAACGGTATTTTTTGTGGTAAGAAACCAGAGCAGGCCGGTAAGGCGGGCTAGCGGCTGCACTCCTAGTTTTCGTATTCCCTCGTTGATGTGAATCAATCACGCAAAAATATGTTGTGAATGTGCATGTTTTCGAGCTCTGTGCGAATCTCATCGCGTATGGTTGCTGCAGTTGTGCCGTTTCAGCGTCATAGTGTGTGCTTGTTTTCGCAGGTTAGATCTTTCACATAGAAATACGTGAACACCCGCGACAGTGTTTGTGAGAGCTACATTCATGGGTCAGATTCAGACCAGTGGGCCAGTGGAGAAACTCACAACAACGAAGTCATGGAAGCATTGTTTTCATTCAATACGTGTAACGTACCCAGAGCCGGCTGCGGTTATGCTACGTGCGACGCATCGGCCAACAGTGTTTGAACTTAGTCTACATGAAGCGTGTATCGTAGAGGAGGCCTATGCATACAACACACATACATACCTCTCCGGTATGATGCCGCACCCGACGTCTTCTTCACGGTAGTTGAGAAGGTAGACACGTGGAGACTAGAAGGTAGACACGTGGAGACTTGAATGACGGCATTTCAGACTGAAGACTCACCCCAAATAGGTGACTGCGTTTGTGTCACTCGCGTGTACTACAATACTACAGCGGTACTGCTTGCTGCTGCACCAATTCACATGCACGGCAAGTGCGTGCAGACGTTGTCACCAGTCGCAATTGATACATATACGTTGTCACACCCCGAAATAATACACCGCAGTGCGATGGAAAAGAGATGGAAAAAGCAAGCGAGGAAGAGCAGCGACGCTGAGAGACACAAACGTTTCGTCGACCCTCACCGCACACCGCACCAAACCTCCCGAACAGGCACTTTCGAACCTCTTTCTTTTTTTGATAATTTGATCCGGCATCCGGCGGGCAGATCCGGCCCAATACAGACCTTGAAGCGCCGTTCCTAAGCTTGGTCTGTGCGTGGCCGGATTGAAGCAACTGGATTGAAGCACCATCCCCATAGCACACAAAAAGCCGAACAGCGGCAGCTAGAGCGTGTAGAGCTCATGCCTCATCATCTTCTGTAGAGAGATATCATAAGAGGGAGCGGTGGGTTGTGCGTCGCAAGGGGGCGACGAGCGGAGAGGTCGATTGCTGTGAAGATGTCGAGCAACGAGGCAAACAACACGACGAACAGCCTGGACCGCGTCTTGGGCACCTTGGTTGGACTAGCCTGTGGCGACGCTGTGGGTACGACCTCCGAGTTTCAGCGGAGAGGGAGGTTTCCAGAGGTCTGCGGGATGGTGGGTGGCGGGGTTTTTCGACTGAAGCCAGGACAGTGGACGGACGACACCTCCATGGCACTGGCCTGTGCATGGCGCAATCGCTCATCGAACGATTGGGACATGATCCTCGAGACTAGCTCGAGAGATACCTCGGGTGGCACGAGAAGGGGAGGCTGTCATCCAACGGTGCCTGTTTCGACATTGGTAACACGACCGTCTGTGGCATCGACAGGTTTAGGTGCGTGTGGAAAAAATAATGAAGAAAACAGACAGGGTGTTGACAGGCTCTCCCTATTATGCCGGCACTGCCTCGCGCCCTTGCCCCATGCGGTGCCCTGGCCCTCATGCCGCCCATCATCCCCCTCATGCCAACCTATGCTCCTCCCCACCCGAAAAGCACAGGGCTTCCGGAAAAACCAGGAACTTCTGTGGCAGCACTAATCCGATGGAGGCGGGCAACGGCTCTCTGATGCGCCTCGCACCGGCGCCGATGCTCTTACGTCTCCACCCTCAGCTTGCGGTGACGGTCGCGGGAGAGACCTCGCGAACAACTCACGCAGCTAGGACCGCGGTAGACTCGTGCCGTTACTACGCTGGCCTGGTAAGCTCGCAGACAAGTTTACAGAATACATACACATTTCACAAGTACAGCTCAATGCTGCTCCTAACCCCCTTGGCACGCACAGAAAATTCGGCGTGTTTTCGCGAAAATTCCAAAGGAAGAGTGACGCTTGCAGATTTAGATGATGATGCGTCCCCACATGATGACCTATCTCTAAAATCCCTATCAAATGGCCCCGCGATAGTCGAGGGGCCGATCGGCGAGCCATCCATTTGGTTGGGAATGGATGTAGATGGATGGATGTAGACAGCAATTGCCGGGAGTGTGGTAAACGGGGCACGAAAAAGGAGCGTTCAAGATTTTCTCTAGAGCGCGAGATCGTCTATATAAATGAAACCCAACCCAAGGCCCAGTGTCTCCCTTCATCGGAGGGAGATCTTCGACGCTTGCCCCTACAACAGTGGGTTTTTCCACCAAGGACAGATAGACGCGGCAAAGCTTTGCTGTTGAAGCTGCGGTATCGTCCTGCGATTTTTCTTGTCTAGCATCCGCACCACACTTACAGTTCTCCCCGCGTCCCGGCACACCCCTTGCCGAGGAGTTCAAAGGAGGAGGCATGCTTCGCGAGGTGAAACAAGTGAAGAAAGATGGCCCCAGAAATTGATCTACATAGCCTTAAGACCCCGGTTTTACGCTTTTTTTTATCACCCAAGTAGAGGCCCCGAAAATCGTAAGTTGCAAGGTGGGAGACGGTGATTGGTCAAAAGGACACAGTAGGATCAGACTTTTGCTGCCTGGAGAAGCGTGACTTCGGTATTGTGTGCCGAAAAACACAATGGCATATATTATTGCTTTTTGTACTCAATCAAAGTGCCCGAGGTGGACTGCACCCCTTTTACACCCCCCCATGATGAGCTGACCTCATGTTGGCGTTACCCCTGACTGGATGGCATGTGGCAAACTGGCGGTGCGGCACCGATACGCGTCGCTTACTGCCCGCTGCTGGGAAATGAGTGTATTACAATCACTCTGTGAGCGTGTCAAATATTCGCGCTGGGTGGGTTGCTATGGAGGTTGCTTCCCAAAATGTGCGATGTCGAACACCAATGGCCGGTTGTGTGCAGCGAGACAGCCCAAACAAAAATTGTAGAGCAAGCCTGAGGATGAGGCTGGGACGACACTGGCACCGCCTGCTGATACTTGGCATTGTGTGTGTGCTGATATATTTTGGCAGCTCCCGTGCGGTGCGCATGATCTATCGTTCGAAACGTGTGGACCCCACGTCACCTCGTGGCAGCGATCCGGCCGAATTCGGGTGTTGAGAACCTCGATAGGCATTTGGGTGTGGCAGACTTACATCAACACGACTCAAGCTCATTAGGTGCAACTTTAACATTTATCAGGCCCCGAAGAGATTAAAAAAGGTGTCGTTAAGGCAATTACGTGGTCGGGCGCCGTGATGGTCGTAAGCAATAGTGCTACTGAAGAATAAGAACACAGATCAGATCAAACCGAAAGGCCCACCACTCGCTTGGAAAATCAAATGTTTGCGTCACCAGCGTTATAAGTGATTCGGCTGGAACAGCACGCTAAATGTCGATGCGCCTGTGTGTGCCGTGTGTGCTTGACATGTTAGCTGGTTGGTGCAATGAATGGGGCTCCGAAGGAGAAACTTTTGGCCAAGGGCGGATTCGCGCCGACCGGCTTACCGGACGATTTCTGGTCGGTCATGGAGCCACCTCTTGACCCTGAGGTGGCGGAGGTCGTGCTGGGGGCGTCGCACGCTGAGCGGGAACCATCCACCGAGGTAGGTCGGCAAAAAACCTGGCCGCCCTCATTACTACTACTACTGTCTGTTGTCGTTGTTGACAAAGCTCAACATTGTCGTTTGGATATTGTACTGGAATGCAGCTTGCTCTTAAGTATAAATAGTTCGTGTACACCGCGTGAAACACGCGATAAACTTCGAGTTGTATCCAATTTATCTGGAATGCAGCTTGCTCTTAAGTATAAATAGTTCGTGTACACCGCGTGAAACACGCGATAAACTTCGAGTTGTATCCAATTTATCTGGAATGCAGCTTGCTCTTAAGTATAAATAGTTCGTGTACACCGCGTGAAACACGCGAGAAACTTCGAGTTGTATCCAATTTATCTGGAACATGCGAGAAACTTCGAGTTGTATCCAATTTATCTGTAGATAGGGCCAATCCCTACCGCGACACACCCGGGAAGTGTGGATGTGCACGGCACACCCGAGTGGGACACAGCACAACCTGTAACTTCGAAAAATTCAAGAATAAATGTGTCACTGGTCGTGACCCCCCGCAACCCGCCGGACGCCGACTGCCGCGAGCAGGAGATGCCGACAAGGCAAGGCACTATCCGCAACGACGGCTACGTCGTGCGGACACTCGAGGCCGCCTTATGGGCGTTCGGCAGATCCACGAGCTTCGAAGAAGGCTGTCTGCTCATTGCCAATCTTGGAGACGACGCGGATACGGTCGCCGCTATCTACGGACAGGTATGGCCGATACTTGGTTTGACAAGAGTAACGAGACAAAATAGCTACAGATGCGAAGGCGACGTGCGAGCGTAAGCGGTGCCTACGTTACACAAGCACCTTTGCGCTGGATTGATCGCGTCCTTTGATGTTGCTTTTCTTGAGCCGTTGCGCAATGTCCGAACATTGCGGGCCTTTGTGGCCACCACAAATTGTCAAGAAAAACAAATGGGAGTTGTGAAACCCCGCGTGTGGGGTGGCTCGTGTTGAATTGCTCGACACTCGAACGTCTTCGAACGACCCTTTCTCCAATTCTTATAGAGGCGATAATACTATGACTTGAACGGCAGAGTGCGACGTTGCTGTTATCGTCAACACTCACAATATGTGGCGTTCTGCAGCAGCGGAGGTGGCGGTGCTGCTGTAGCTCGTAGACTTTGTAGTCTACCACAGAGGTTACACTGCTGTCACCGCGGTGCTGCTGTAGCTCGTAAACTTTGTAGTCTATCACAGAGGTTACACTGCTGTGGGATCGGTAGGCCCGAGCGAGCTTCGGAAAGAGAAACGAAGATAGGTGTTCTTATCAACTGACTCCCTGGTCAGGCTTTGATGGGTGCTTGATGAGAGTGAGCACAAGAGGCGAAGGCGCGCTTGTGTCTCAGCTCAACAACAAAACAACAAAACAAGCAGCAAACACAGCAGGTTCCGAGGGTCTCCGGGGTAATAGCCCGAGTACCGAAATTTGGGGGTTCGGAACAATAAAACGACTACAGTCTCGCCTGCCAAATTATCTCCGCTACAACTCTGTGTTCTCTGCTAAGTACCATCTCTTCTTTCTGTATTATGTCTACGAAAGGCTAGTTGCCGCAGTCGCACCTATGGTAAACTGTGCCTGACTACGTTGTAACAGTTTTCCTCGACAAACACCTCGCCTGAACCCAACTGATGTCGACGGACGTGTCTCCACGATCGCGGCGAAACACCAGCTGGCGGGCGCTTTCTACGGCTACAGCGGCATCCCCGCCGAGTGGCGGAACAAGATCGCGCTGAAGGGCTTGATCGAGGCCATGGCGGAGGAGCTCTTCGATATGTCCAACCGGATCGACCCATGCCCACACCCTGCCACCCCGGCGCCTACAATACCGTCTACTAGCGACACAGCTGATGCCGTCGCCGGCGGTGCTACCCATGCCATGCCCACCACGAAGCCCCTGGAGCAAAGAGTGACTCGTTTCGTGGTAAAACCTGCTGCGGACGAGGCCGGTGGTGGTTTTCAACAGGGTTTATATCAGGGTGTTGGTGGCGGTGTAGACGGCAACAAAGAAAGAGCCGGTGGCGCGTTTTGGGGAGGGGGGGTAGCGGCCCACTACCAGCGGCTTGAAGATGCCTACGTGTGAGTGCTTGTGCGCATTGCAGCATCGCGTGAAGTGCAGCACGAACGAAACATTGGTCGTTTCCTATTCTGCCACTCCAGGCACCACATCGTGTTCCGCCTTTCGCGCGTCTTCTGCACGGGGATGGCCTAATGGGATCGAGTAGTGTGTTCGAACTCGTGTTGATTTCGATCGGATCAGGCTGTGAATTTCGGCAACGCGGCCTGGAAGTGGCATTGTCGTACTGACCCAAGGGTTACCCCATAATTTGTCAATTTGATCTACGCGGAGTTTTCACCCTCCCTTATCATGCCGTTCTGCGGCTAATCGTGTCCGTTTACTCCAACTTTTGTTCCATCTGCATGGCAACCCTGCAGAGCGATCAAGACAAAGATCAAGGCGCGCTCGTACCACACGATCGAAGCCTTCGAACAGGACGTGAGTGCCATGATCCTGATTCGGCAACCTACCCCTGACCCCAACGCCACCACGGGTGAAGATGCTGGCGGAGCGTCGAAAACGGCGAAACATGACGATGATAATCCAGAGTCGCACGAGGCGAGCACCGGGAAGCGGACGTTGGGGGCTGAGGAAACGGTGGAGAAGGCAAAGGACGCGCTGACGGAAGAGTTCGTCGCCCGTGCGGCGACAGACAAAGTCAACGTTAGGTTGATGCTCCAGACCAGGGTGATGCTCCAGACCTGACTCTCTGTGGTGTGCAGGAACTTGCGATTGTGCCGCATTATGGGTCTGCGAGAAGAGAGGGCTGTGAACGGAGGAGGTGGGCTGGGTTCATGCAACTCCAGATAACTTGGACAACGCCTTCGGGAGAAATGCCTGGTGTCGCCCGCAAGGATTGTAGCATTAAGCTGTAGATGCTTTGGCCCCTTGTTCTATCGCGAGTCGAAATGGTCTGTCGCTGCAGTCACCATGTAGTATGGTCCTGTGTTGGCACATTGTCAGTGTCTAGGATCAACGTTGGTAATCCGCACCTCTAGAAATGTCTCTTCTTCTGTCGCGATGCGTACATGAATGTGTGGCGCGTACGTACCGTGAGCTACGAAGATTGCCCCCCCCCGGGGAGGGGATCGTTTTTTTTTTCTGAAACCAAGCCCTCCGGGGAAACTGACGTACCGCGGGGGGCTTAGTTTTTTTTTTTCAACGCTACGCCGGGGGGAAGCCCTCCCCCCGGGTATGACGGTGCAAAATAATGATGGTCCACACAACACACACACACACAGTGTGGCGAAACTGATATGGACAAGGCTCACGAGCAAGCGCTCAACAAGAAGAGGGATGAGGAACGTAAGAGCAACGAAGGCGAAGAGAAAAGAGACAGCAAGAGGTACCATTGCCTAAGCTCATCATGCACAAGAATTCTGTCAGCAGGAATAAGATATTTTTTCTATGGTTCGGTTCTTCGACCTTTTGAGTTGTGAGATCCAAAGATGAATACGATTATTTTTTCCCTTTGTGCGCAAGATTTTGTCAGAGCATGCTATGGCACGTTTCAGCTGACTCCAGGGATGATAAGCGCAAGAAATAGATGAGAAAACGAAAGCATTTCACCCGTAAAACAACGGCGAGGGCCAACTGACAAACGGTACACCCAAATCTCGCTCGAGCGCAGATCTGTAAATATATGAATTTTCCGTCCCATATCATCATGCTTTTTGTGCTCCACGATGCGACAAAATCGACCCAGAAAATAAGGGAAATCCATCCCCCCCCTGGAGGAACTCGTGGGAAAACTGGTACCCCGGGGGGAAAATTGAAATACCCGCGGGGGGATCTTATTTCTTTCTGGTCGAAAACGATCTACAGCAGTACCCCGGGGCCAATATCATCAACGAAATCATGCTTTCAGACCGAAAAGAATGGTGGTGGGGGAAAACTCTACCAGGGGGGAGAACTCCGTGGTTCACGGTAATCTCTTTTTCTCGTGCCTCGTGTCTCGCGTATGTAGCACCTATGATGACTCCGCAGTTTGTTATGTTGTTGTTTTTCTTCACATTAAACTCGTGTCAGTTGCTAATCCCAAAATCTAGCAAAGACTCGGTCCGTGGTAAAAAAAATGCTAGAGCCATCAGAAGATCTAAAGAACACACACACTATTAGCAACAAAGGGTACGCAAGCCCGAGGAGGTACACATACAATCCCTGCAGCACGTTTGCGTGCTCACAACTGAACTACACGCCCACACACTACAAATCGACTACAGCAGCAGCTATTCGATAAAGCTACACCATTAGACTAGTCAGCGCTGACTCGTCTAATGGTGAAACTTTACCCAATGAAGGATGCCCGCACGAGTTCAAATACCGGCTGGATCACTTTCCTTTGGAAACAAAGCCATACAGACCCAATAATCTCCGATTGGACCCCTCGCCAGGCGCTGCAGGGAAAGAACTAATGGTGTTTGTGACAGTGGCCATCTGGGATTCGAACTCGTGCGTATACCACTTGTTAGTAAAGGCTTATCCCATTAGACTACTGACGGACTGGGTCCGTCGCCGGAGATCCATGCCATACAGACCCAAGTGATCGAGCCGGGTGCAAATGAGCTCTGAGCATATCTTTTATTCGATAAAGCTACACCATTAGACGAGTCAGCGCTGACTAGTCTAATGGTGTAACATTATCGAATAGCAGCATCACCCCCCTTGTCCCTCATTTAACCAAAATGAATGTTGTCGACTACAGCGTACTGCTGTCTGAATTGCTGTCTGTACAATGATAACACCATGGTGCATGGTACACAAGCTCGGGGCATGGAGCTGCTGTCTGAAGTGCTGTCAGAATGAGCCCGTGGACATACAGTAGTGAAGAAGAACGCCCAACAAAAGCCATCATTGCAATTGACAATCACCCGAATCTATCCAGATCATCTGTGTTAGGCACAGCAGTGTAAACATCGACACTGACTAGGAATCGTTCCACATTGAAGGGGGCTTCCACGATGCACGTACACAATTAAGGCACCCGGGTTATCCGCGCCATCTCTGCCGCGTCTCACTATAAAACCAGTGACGTCATCACACACACCCAACACCTGTATTCAGGAAAAAAAGTAGATATTATAACAGCTGGTCGTGTGTCGTGTAGAAAAACGGCGTACGGCGTACGCGGAACTACGAACCAGGTTCGTTTCCCACTTATGTTTATGTACAAAACTGCTGTACAATACCCAGCACATGTCTCTGCTCCATCGGTTCCCATCTTGCCCTTATTGCCGGGTACCAGCTGTGTCATCCTGCCACGTGCACCTGGATTTCGACACACGCCTGTTGGAGTAAAGATTGACCGATGGCTGCAACTGAAGGTGAGACCATGGCTTGGGGAATGACTGTTGTGGGGCGCCTTCCGGGATATGCCGGGAAGGGGTTGAGATTGATAATGTTGCCAAACCACCTAAGCTCTGAAAATTCAGTTGTGGGTTGCTCTCGGTGTGTAGATGCGATATTCGGTCTCAGATTTTTAATCCGGGGTTGGGAAGGTGGGTTTTCAGCGAAACTTGGTGATTTGTCTTACTCAATGTATAGGGACACGCAAATCAGGGGACACGAACTTTCTGTCCCCCCCCGGGGACAAAACGGGGATTTGCCCATATCTTGCCCATTTTAAGCGCTTTTTTGACCGCTGTTCCGGTAGAACAAACCCTACAATTTTTGCAAACTTTGCTGGCCACTTCCGACCAGGGGACACGAACTTCATGTCCCCCCCCGGGGACAAAACGGGGATTTGCCCATATCTTGCCCATTTTATGCACTTTTTAGGCCGTTGTTCCGGTAGAACAAACCCTACAGTTTTTGCACATTTTACTGGCCACTTCCCACCAGGGGACACGAAATTTGTGTCCCCCCCCGGGGACAAAACGGGGATTTGCCCATATTATTACCACCAAGAGTAAAGGGTAGCGCACAATACTTGCAAACGTTGCGTTCGACACCACACCAGAAAAAGCAAGAAGAACAACAAACGTCGACGAGTTCCATTCTTGTGGTTGGCAGCCAACACATCCATCCATCCCTAGCCCACCTCCGGGAACCTCTTCTTCGCGATACTTACGCGACCTCTTGAGCTTACGTATTGCGCTTCCTCCCGCTCCCCCTCCTCCTCCCCCTCCTCCTCCTCCTCCTCCTCCCCCTCATCGTCCTCCTCCTCTCCCTCATCTTCCTTCTCCCCTCCCCCACCCACCTCCCCCATGCTCTCGTCAAGCGTAGGCGCCACTGGGGACTCGTCCGAAGATATGACCGGAAGAATAACGCCGGTCAATTGAGTCCCAAGCGTGCGTCTCCCAACCATCTCTTTTCCCGACTTCTCCATCACCTCGCCAACCAAGTCGGGGTACACCTTCGCTACCATGCAGTCACCGTAGCAGCCTATTCGGCAAGTCGAGCAGTAGCACGATGCGCCCCGAACCCGCAACTTCCAAGATCTGGTGAACTTCTTGGGGGCGGCCCATTTCCTTGCCCTGGACTCGTCTACCACCCACTTCCTAGCCGTCAACACCTTGTCTCCGGCCGCTCCCACCACAAAATCGTCTGTCTGCACCCCCACACTAGTAGCCCACACAAGACTAAAGGTATCCTGCACGTCCTCCTGCTCGTCCTCTGTTCCCGTGAAAAAGTACAGCTTGGAACTTCCAGGGATCCCCGTCAGATCTATCGGTGGGCGAGGAATTTCCTTGGGGCCAAACTTCCTGACCTCGAAGCTCTTGATCCGGTAAGGGGACCAGGTTGTGAAGTGGCCTTCACGCGCCTTGTCCGCCTCCACGGCGTAGCCTAGAAGAAACTCGTGCGCGACGTCGACGTCGGGGATACGCGTGCCATGCATCTCCGCGTTCCGAAGTAGGCGCTTCATGAGCGCCCCGATGCCATCATGCGTGCCCTTGAAGTGAGAAGTGACGGCGAAGTTGTGCAAAATGCGGACACCAAGCCTCCTCAGGCTCTGCGCCACTGCTCGAAAGTTCCGCTTCCCCTTGTACTGCTTGCCGCACCCGTCCGTAAACATGTGCACTCGTGGGGCCGCACTCCCAGCGGTGGCCGCAGACTTCGGTCCCGTCGTGTAGTGCGCAACAACGACCTCCATCGCTGCGTGATGGAAGTCGAAGTCATGGTTCGGATCGCTGGACAAAAAAATCCAAGCGTCTGTTTCGTGCTCCCCACGGTTGTCGGGGCTGTGATGTACAAGGGCCACCATCATGGTCGTTGTTGGTGCGGTAGCACATGTCAGCACGACGCGTGCTTCATGCCTGTACTTCTCGATGAAGTCCGTCTCGATCAACAGCTCGCCCTGACGAAGTGTAGCCATGCACATCTTGTGGGCTTGGCGCTGCCACTTGGCTAAAGGCATGGTGCTCCATGTACTGGAATGGAAGGAAGGGAAAGTGAACAGGGGATGGGTTGGCAATAGATATGATATTGTGTCGTCAATAGACATGTTATTATGAATCGCTACAAAGAGCGCTCCTTATTGACTAGAATAGTCAACAGTGTAAACCTGCCGGGCATACTATTGTTGAACTCGCCTTCACGGAGTGTGCCATGAACTCGTCCCACAGGTCTTCGAGCTTCCCCGTCTGGGGTAGCTGCTGCTTCTTGTGCACCTTGCCGTCAGGCATGGTTTGGTCTTCGAAGCGAATCCATGCTACTACCCGCTCTCTGTTTTTCGCAATAGCGGTGCAGTTGGTCGGGATGCCTCCAGGCTTTCCGAACCCGCACTCGGAACACTTCATCGCAGCGCATGCCGGTTTCCGACCCCAAAACTCAAATCCCCCGTCGGAATCCCCCTCCAGCAAGTTTACCTTCTCGCACGCCAGAGCGTCAGAAAACTTGCTCAGGTCCTGGCACATGACAGACCACCTCTTACAACCAAGATCGTCACACCAGTTACACTCACAGTCGCAGTCTTGGTGTATCGACCCCATCAAGAACGAAAGGGCCTCGAGATACAACGTCTGCTGCGTGTGGATCTGACACGCACACTGCGATGCCGTTGGGTCCACTGAAAAGGGGCGGTGAAACATCGCAACAGACCAAAAGCAGAGGAGAACAAAAACGTCAGCTCTTATTCCTCGTCAACAAAGCCATACGTCAGCAACATTGATCGGGTTTATCAGGTACCAGAGGTACACGTTTTGGGCACTCTAACCGTAGAACCAGATTGACCCACCTAAACACCCGCACCGCGTTGACAGAAACGTCGTCCTGCCAGGGTCGGTGAAGTTGCTGTCCTGCTCAAGTAGCCTTGACTTCAGCGCCAAGTACCGCCGGCTCTCGAGGAACATCCTCCACACACTGTCTCCCTTGTGCATGAGCTGTCTCCGAGGGTGAGAGGGTGCGTCTCTCTTCTTAGACTCCTTGTACATGTCCCTGGCTCCTGCAGGGGGCGAAACCAAACGTTTTTTTCTCTAAGAGACTCCATCACATCTGTAATGTGGACAAACGAACGGGTGTATTGCAGTTCACAGCACCGTGTGGCCGTGTAGTACAACAAACGTAGCGGTAGACCTTCGCAACATAAAACACAACTGCCGCATACAACCGAGACTACGGTAACAGCAACGCAACGCAGCAACTTGCCTGAGTTCCCTGTTGCACGGGAAACGTCGTCGGAGTGCCAGAAAGCCCTGGCGAGAGCCATGACCTCGGGATTCGTCACGTCACTCCGTGTCTTGCGCTCGTTGTACACGTAGCATCCCTCACTCGCAGCGATCTTGGGGGCGATGTCGTGGTTCGTGTTGTGCATCCGCCACCGTGCGTCGCTGAAAGTCTCGTGCCGAATGCCGAGACTGTTAGCTCGCTCGGCAAGGCTCACTCCACCAGACTCAACGGGCTTGCACCGCTGGCCGGGGTGGCACACGTCCGTGTCAGTACACGTGTGCTCTCCCGCTCCGGCTGCTACAGCGAGCGCTGTCTGGTAAGTGGTCCACCCTATCGAGCTGTTGCAGTGCTGCTTCAGCGCTTGCAACGACGCGCGGAGTGCACGAGTGTTGGCCGCGTCGATCGCCGCCACCTTAGCTGCTGCCTGCTCTGCCGCGCCAGCATCCAGCATGGCCCGTACTCGCTCCATCAACACGGGGTCGTTCTGCATCAAATCCATCGCGCTGGAACGACGCTCCTCCGCAACCTGCGTACAACGTATCAGTAGTTTTTGGAGGAGTCGGGGGAACATATGAGTGAGCGGCAAATAAACACCACGGTAGCAGCGTCATTGCAGCAGTTACAGCAGTCGCCAAACCCGTGCAACTTTTAATGCGCTTTCTGTGCTTAAGATATCGACGTGGTGGAATGGACCTCAATTCTTGGGGGCAAAGAGGACGGGCAGCGCGTGTACCAAATTTCAAATTCAAGAACAGAGCAGCTGGCACGAACTGGCGCGCAAAGTAAAGCAGTCAATCAAGCACTCTGGAACACCTTTCAGCAGCACCTCAGAAGTGACTCAAAACTCACCGCTTCCTCCCTCGAAGTCTCTGGGGTAGCACCGCTTCTGGTCCCGCCATCATGAGCCAATGCTAGAGGGTCGGAGAGAGCTGCGTCCGCCCCCTTGCGCTTCGCCTTCTTCGCCGCAGCAGATGAAGCAGCAGCAGCAGCAGCAGGCTGTCGTTTCCCGCGTTTCGATGCTCTCTCTCGGATGCCTTCAACGTGCTCTCTACCCTTTTCGAGGAGCTCAACTTCATCAGCAACCACAGATTGCACAGGTTTTCCAGCTGCCTCGGTGGTACCCTTTCTCAACAGCTGGCTGATTAGCAGTATCCCGCGGATGTGGTTCTTCCGCTGCTGTCTCACTACCCTCTCTTCCCCTCGGATTTCGATTGTGCGGTCTACCTCCATGAGGCTGCCACGAGCCACGGCCAGGCCCAAGTCGGGACGGCCGTCCTAGAACGAGATTAGGTCTGATGACCTCGAGAGTGGTCTCCTCTGTATGTAATTCGACCAAGCGGAGTCGATTGCCGTGGAGAACAAGGCTTGCGTCGGCGATGTTTGCGGTGAAACAGGATGCGCCGCATCGTTTATCTTGAAAAATGTGGGGGAGATTTTTTTTTTTTTCGTGTTTTTTTTGTCGTCGGTTGGTCTCGCCGAAACGTTTCTAGAACCGGTCTCCATTTTTCATACCGACGAAAACTCGTTCTAGGACGCAATTCTCCGGCATATACCGGAAGGCGCCGTGGGTCGGAGGTTGGAGTGCAGTAGCAGAGCCCAACAGATGATCCTGCTGAAATCTGGGTGCCGCCGGTGATGGTAACACGTGCAACACGCGCCCTCTTGTCGGTACTGCCAAGCACTGCAGCAACTTTTGTTCTGCGTAATACATACGGGTTAACACCCCGTTCGCCGCGTCCATGCCCTTGGAAGACTCTCCTAGTACTGCCTTCTCTTTCCGAGTGCTGCCTGGCCCAGCCATGTTGCTGACGCAGGTCTAGAAACACCCTAGACTACATACCACACCCCCTGATCAGTTATTGAAGCCTGAGTTCTCCACGACGAAGACGACGTACAGGTCAAACGGGATGTTTCCGGCAAGCTGTCATCACGGCGGCCCCCGCACCGCCATTTTCGGCACCGCCATTCTTTCTGCTGTGGAGCGACCGAGCTTTGAAAATCGCTCCAGGGGGTTTGGCCTGTCTCGTGTGTAGTCTACAGATGTTGTACAACAGCAGAAGTTTTTATGTAGACTACGAAGCACATTTTGCAGTAGTGCGTTGGAAAATATTTCTCTAGCGACAGCCCCTTTCTCACCCTTCCTTCTGAGGGGCACGCAGGAGGCTCGTCGTTGCATGGCCAAGGGCCCCCATGCATGCGTCGCACGTATGCTCAACACATATCACGTATAAGTCGAAGTCTCCCCGACTGGCTCTATTCCCGGGGAGGCAGTCCGAATCGTAAAGGCCATGCGGGAAACACCAACACAAGATTACAGACTATTTCGTACAATGCCTTTACTCCGAAGTACTAATTTGGAGAGGTTCGCCGGCGGTGGCCTCTCTTGCGTAGATATGTTCGTGTAGTTTTTTTTTTTCTTCCATCATTGGAGTTTGCCGTCTGCCCCTCTGGCCCCTATCCTCCACTTCTATCAGCTAGACGACCCAACCGGGGTCACATAGGAGGGGGGGGTTGGACCCCCTCCTGCGGTTCCTGCCTGAGATATTTTTGTCGCGAGAAGGGTACAGCAATCCCTTCCCTCGCGACTTATTAAGTCGATCAAGTTGTACTAACGACGAGTTTTGCAGCGCGTAGCTTCCAACGGAGACCAGGAATTATTTAGCGAGAAAAGCTCTCTCTGTCGGGACTCGATCCCATGACCTGGCCCTTAGCAGGCTGCGACGCTACCCACTAGACCATGTGCCGATGGTATAAGATAAAGCCACACCGTTAGTCCAGTCAGCGTTGAGTAGTCTGGGATAATGGTGCATATGAGCGTCTCAAAGGTGTCCGCTGTTAAAGTGTGTTATTTGGCCTTCTTGGGCAGGGAACAGGAGGAACATGCACACACTGAACCGACGGGCATCGGTCACCTCGCTCTCTATCCTGTCCGATACTCAACTCTTGCCCAACTGACCAACTACTACCCATGAACCTCGACCTCTTCAGGATACTCAGACCCTGCTCTCAACTTCTTATTCTTTGCATGCCCTCACTTGGCTACAGACGAAGTACTTATAGCCCAGCCCTGCTCACAGGACCAAACGACACTTAAAGGAAAGCGGCTTCATGAATACATTGGCGCCTACATGCACGACACTGGGACATGCACATGCGAAACAGGTACATTTACACTCCGGCTCATTACAAGCAACTCACGCACCATACCATCAGCAAGGCGGTACAATATTAGAAGAGACAGAGCAGCGAGAGGCAGGAAAGGAGGAAGAGGGCGTGGGGATACAACCCGCAGGGTCTGCAGCAGGATTTATTTGCAGCAAGCGGGCTGGACGCAAACACACGGAGACAGGTCGAGACCTCATGAGACGCTTTCGCCGCAAGAGCATTTTTTTGGAAGGAAACCAACACCGCCGAACGTTGAGCATTCTTGGGGTGCCATGCGGCATTTGCTCGTTGCTCACGGGCAGACCTTTTAACAGCACCGTGTGTCTTGCAGAACGGGTCCGGAATTAATAAATTCTGTTCAGAAAAAAAAGCTCAAAGGGTTGCGAAAAAAAAAGCACTGAGAAACTCAGCTCGATCTCGGCCTCGACGTGAGAAACGTCCCAATGAGAAACATGATCGTGCGATATCCCGAGACACAAGAAACAACGGATGTGTACGGAAGCATGTCCAATAAGAAACGTCCCACTGCTGCTGTCAGCTCCCACCACTACCTACGCTAGCTCATCATGTAACACTTCGATAGGGGGGGAGAGCGGATATTTTCTCGTCGCCCCCCCCCCCCCCCCCCCCCCCCCCCCCCCCCCCCCCCCCCCCCCCCCCCCCCCCCCCCCCCCCCCCCCCCCCCCCCCCCCCCNTGCTGCCACAAATCACGGGAGTCAGGAAGTTCAGGAGGGTGACAACCCCAATCAATGTTCGCCACCACCGAGCTGTTCTGAAGCCTATTTGCTTCAGTTTTCTGTTGCAGAAGTTCTCAGACCTACCAAACGTGACCCCACCAAAAGTGACCCCACTCCCTTTTTTGCTCTTGGTTTTAGAGTAGACTATCTCCGGTTTCTTCTCTAGAAGCAAGCTGTTTTTCTTCGGGCGATGTTTCTCGAGATCCCATTGACAGATTTTCCTTTGGGGTTGAAAGTGGTGTCTCTCCTGGCCCCGTCCGCCCCTCCTGCAAGTTTGGTGCAACAGCTCGTCTCTGCTTTTGAGAACGCGTCCGTTGATGTTGTCATGTTCGTAGATCTCCCCCGTCCGATTGATTCACCGAACAACCACCCTCCCCCTCTTCTTGCTAGAGGACCCCCACATGCCGTCAACAACGCCGCACCCCACACGACGCGAATAGTCAGCCTCAGGTCGACGATGCAGGTGGCCGCTTTGCACCGCAATCGACCTCGTCAAGCATACATACATCTATTTCGAGAACCATGCGTGGAGCGTTAGTTTGTGGGGCTTGTTGCGAGGCAGGGAGGGGCAGAGCA